AGCCACCAACAGGGACTAAAGGGGTTCTGAAATTTGTTTTTTGTTTTTCTATTTTTTTTTTGTTTTTAGTTTTTGTTTTGAATTGCTTATATCTAGGATATTTGATGTTTTTGAGTGATTCTTTTTGCATTAGATTCAAAATTTTGTCTAGTTTCTGTTTGTGCCATTAGTTTTCAAATTTGAATGATTTAAATATGAATTTGTTCAAATTTGCTTCAAACCCTAGATTATGAATAATTTGAGTTTATAAATATTTTTAAATTTAATTCTTTTTGCTCCTAGTCACATGTTAGATTGTTGTCACGGTAAGATTTATTTGGTTATTTTTTAGATTAATTTAAATTAGGATTTTAATTAAAACAGTAATGTTTTGCTTATATAGTTTTTTTACTCATTTAACTGTTGTTTTCAATTACTAGTCAATGTGTATGTGCAATGCACATTAATTTGGATGTATATTCAATGCATTAGGATATTAAGTAGGATATTATTTGCGTGTTATTATGTGATTAGCACTATATTTGGCATGAAATTAACTGCATGCTAAATGTGTTGAACGCTCGACATTGAAGTAGTCTAGGTCATTGGATTAACATGATTTGATGGCCGAGATTAATTGGATCTTCCCCTTTGGGTCTTTTTATATTGGTATAGATATAGATTTTTAGTTAGTTCTTTTTATAGGTTTTAACATGTTGTAGTATGCTTCTATTAGACAACAGTAGATAAATTTTTATAATTAATTAATATTAATTTTGCTACTGTTTTGTATTAATATTTGTTTAGCCTTTAATAATAGTTGCTAGAATTAGTTTTACTATATTAAAAAGTAATTCTTTTTGCCACTCTCGTATCGCCATTTCAGTTTGGAAAAAAAACAAAAGAAATTGATAAAAACTTCAAAAATTAAAATTCTTTGAGATGTAGTTATGTTACTACATCTACTAGTTAGGAAAATTAAAAAACATAAATTTTGACATATTTTGCAAAAAAGTGTTATGAAAAAGTAAAACGGCTATAACTTTTGCATACGATGTAAAAACATATAATATATCAAAATGTTAGCTCAAAAACCCGGTTCCGATTTCGACTGTCGTAGGCCGTTTTGCAAATGTTTAGAATCCTCAAATTCTGAAAGGAAAAAAAGTTATCCTCAAATTTATTTATTTTCGAATTTTTGGTCAAACTAATTATTCAAGAAATATTAGTGCTACTAAATAATTATTGTTTTTTAGAATAATAGTTTCAAACTCAAACAGTGCTTTGTGCTCAAATTCAACTCTTAAGGGTTAATAGGATTGACAGCTTACTATTGTTAGGAAAACAACAAGTGCAGACTTGGAAACTAGGGGGAATAGAACTCGGAAGTTAAGCATGCTTAGGCTGAGATAGTGAGAGAATGGGTGACCAGCCGGGAAGTTAGACGATTTAGAATGAATGGTCCATACTTGCACAGTGATGAAAATTGCTTCAGTCCCGGTTGATGTTATCAACCGGCACTAAAGGTGAACTCCAGACAGCGGCCACGTGAAGCTCCTTTAGTCCCGATTCATAAGCTAACCGGGACTAAAGGTTTTGGGCTTTAGTCCCGACCCTTTAGTCCCGGTTCCAGAACCGGGACTAAAGGTCCTCTGAAACCGAGACTAAAGGCCCGTTTTCTACAAGTGCATCTTCTCCTGCTCCGACTACGACAACAATGGCTACCGGTAGCACTCAAGTCAAGTAAATCACCACACCACATAGATCTCTCAGATTAGATCAACCTAGCCTATGACTAGACCGTTAAGATCTTGAGGAGACTAAATTCGCAGTTCCTTTTTACTTTCGTGGAGCACCACAGGCCCTTTCCTTCTTTTACGAGTTTTGGGATTTGATTTGATCTGACCTTCTTGACCTTTTCAACCACCTGGCTTAGAGATCAAGGTGGGCTTGGATTTACTGAATTTCGATTCTACAAATATCAGTCTGGTATCTAAATGGCAGTATTCTGAACATCAGTCTTGTATGAAATTTGAAAAATGAAGAAGGGAGTGGCAGGGTTTTGTTAGGGCTGAAAACCTGCACAAAGGTAGTAGTACTTCAACCCAAAATAAACCATGGCCTAGTCATTCTCACTCCTTGCCCGGCATCAAGAAAGTGGAAGGATTGCTGGTTGCTTGCTAGTGAAGAAAGCAAAGAAGGACAAGACATCACAGGAAGCCAATGGAGACATCAAGCAAGCAAGTTGACAAGTGATGAAGTGACAGGAGCAGAGTGAGCTATAATCCCTCGCTTGCATAAAAAGATGCAGTGCTTCCTCTTCAAACAAAATATGTATCCCTGGCGACTATGGATGGAGTACTACAATACGAAATACCCCAACATGGCCTGTTGGCTAGACCCAACCATTCACTCACCTTGTCTCAATCTGTACTGGGAAAAGGGAATTCATGAGTTTGTTCCGTGTGTATGGACTCGCCGATTTTTCTCGGCTCCGACAGCTCCTCTCCACCTACCCCGATGATCTGCTCCAATGATGACAAAAACGACGACCTGGGCTAACCTAAGTGAATCACCACACGTCTCCAGCCAGCATTATATACACGCACAACCACTCACTCACTCACTCAGGTGCCGTCCGGTGCAGAGGCAGATAGAGCTGCAGCCTTCCAGCAAGAAAAACCCAAGACACAAAATCAAGAGGTGACACTACGGGAAAAAACTTTAAAGCCGTGTACCCAATAGACTCGGCTTATATTGATATAAACACAGTTTATATATAAGCCGAGTAAAACACCCGGCTTACATGACACGGTTTACACTCCATCGGCTTATAAGGTATAAGCCGAGTGCCAGTGCAAAAACTCTCGGTTTATGTATAAATCATGTGTTTATACAAGGCTCTCAGCTTACTAAAGTAACATGACGGCAGCCGAAAGATAACGGCCACATGCCACCGTCCGTATAAACCGAGTGTCTACTGGAGCCACACGGTTTATATATAAACCGAGTTCCTACAAGCGCTACACATTTTATCTATAAACCAAGTGCCAAAATGAGCCGCACGGTTTCTATATAAACATGTAAACCAAGTGCCGACTCCTGCTGTACTCAGCTTATGTCCAGCCGCTGTTACAAATATGCCTATAAGCCGTGTGCCTGGCACCTGGAGTACTCGGCTTATACAACTCCTGTGGCATAATCTGTAAGGCGCCACATGAAACCATGCCCGGAAGTGTCATGGGAAATCATATGTGATGTCTTTGCGACAAGCGTAGGCCTTATGCGGACGAGAGAAGGGAATGCCCGGACATCGGGGGGTGAAATTACCTCGGCGGCTTGCCTGATCCAACTGTTTAAATCCTTGGAAAACCATACAATGCCAGAAATCCTTGGAAGCTGGCACGGTGTCATCACATGGCCCCTGCAGGGTGTGGTAGAACTTTGGGCACGTTTTGATTATGCCACATCTGAGGCCACTTGTAAACTACACCACCTCCGAGGTAGTCTCTTGGTACCAAGAAGGAATGTGTCGGGTTTGTGAAGTAAGTGTCGGTCCTGTTGCTTTGTTGGCCTCAAAACTTCTCGTGCTTTCAAACGAGGCCTTCGAATGACACGTGCCAGGCCCTCGCATTTTCTGGACCCGCATGTAATATTTTCTGGAAATTGCAGATCTGCAAGGCGCCATATGAAAGCTTGCCCAGGAGCGGCATGGAAAATACTATGTGATGTCTTTGCGACATGCGTATGCCTTATGCGGACGAGGGAGGGGTACACCCTTACACCCGGGGTGGTATTATGTCCGCGACATGCCTGATCCAACCGTTTAAAGCGTCGAAAAATCATACGATGCCGGAAATCCTTGGGAGCTGGCATGGTGTCATCACATGGGCCCTTTAGGGTGTGGTAGAAGTTTCGACACATCTTGAATACGCCTCATCTGAGGCCACTTGTGAACTACCACCAGCTCCGAGGTAGTCTCTGTGTACCGAGAGGGAATGTGTCGGGTTTGTGAAGGCAGTGCGGGTCATGTTGCTCGGTTGGCCTAGAACTTCTTATGCTCTCAAAGGAGGCCTTCGAATGACACGTGCCAGGCCCCTGCATTTTTCGGACCCGCCTATAATATTTGAGACATTTATTGCACTGCTATGGTTTCTACGTTAGAAATTGCAGATCTGCAAGGTGACAGATGAAATCATGCCCAGAAGCGGCATGAGAAATCCTATGTGATCTCTTTGCGACATGCGTAGGCCTTGTGCGGACGAGGGTGAGGCAGGCCCAGCCACCTACTTCTGGTTGCCGAGTGCCCGACCGTGTTTTGGCTCCCAGCAAAGAGCCAAGCACTGGGTGTAGAATGAATTTTCAGTAGTGACTTTTGCATGTGATCATAATATGGGTAACCTAGGGGGTCAGAAGAGTACACTAGTTACTTTTGCATGTGATCATAAAGCGGCGTTAAATTGGGAGTTTCAAAAATAAGACCCATAAAACTAGTCGGGAGAAATTGGGTGAGAAATAAATAACAATAAATAGTTAAGATAAATGCAATGAAAATCATTTTAAACCAATTTTCCATAAATTTCATGGGTTGCCAACATATAAGCCGAGTGCTATCATACGGCACACGGATTATGTACTGTATAAGCCGAGTGTTATCTTAGGGAACACGGCTTATATACTGTATAAGCCGAGTGCTATCCCGTGGCACACGGCTTATAGGATGCTCTCTGACGGCACCGTCAGCTACCTCCGTTATAGACACGTGGCAGATGTCTTTGCTGAGTGCCAGCTGGAAGCCGAGTGCTTTTTCCTGTAGATATCGCGTGCTCACTATAAGCCGAGGGCTTTTTTTTCTACACTCAGCTTATAGATGGCTATAAGCCGAGTCCTTTGCATTTGCCGGGTGCTTTTTTGCCTTGACACGGCTTAGATGCATATAAGCCGAGTACCCAAAATATAGCTCTCGGCTTATAGCCTAACACATGGGGAAACGGAAATTTCATGTAGTGTGAGGTCCAGCCATGGAGGTGGCGATGGTGGAGTGGTGGCCATGGTTCGGATCGGCTGTGGCGAGCACCATTTTCCTATGGTCCATGGTGCAGAACCACATCCCGGATGCCCTCCGCCTCAACCTCGCCGCTTTGGCCGCCAAGCTCACCGCCTACTTCAACCCTTACCTCCAGATCACCATCTCGGAGAACGGCGCCCAGCGCTGGAAGCGAAGCGAACTCTTCCTCGCCGTCGAGGCCTACCTGAGCGACGCATGTGCCCGTCGCGCGCGCAGGCTCAAAGCCGAGCTCGGCAAGGACAGCAAGAACATCCAGGTCTCCATCGACGACCACGAGGGAGTCACCGATGACTTCTCCGGCGCCACGCTCTGGTGGCACGCCTCCAAGCAGCGACCCAATGCCAATGTCATCAGTTTGTACCCTGGCGAGGACGAGAAGCGCTTCTACCGGGTCACCTTCCATAAGCGACACCACGACCTCGTCGTCGATTCTTACCTGCCTTTCGTCCTCGGCGAGGGCCGCACCATCATCATCAAGAACCGCCAGCGCCTCCTGTTCACCAACAAAGCCAGCGGCAGCTCGAGCCCTTACGGGGCCAGGACCGCCTGGAGCCATGTACCGTTCGAGCACCCGGCGACCTTCGACACCCTTGCCATGGACCCCAAACAGAAGGAGGACGTCATCGACGACCTCATGGCATTCCAAGAGAGCAAGGAGTACTACGCTAAGGTCGGCAAGGCGTGGAAGCGCGGGTACCTCCTTTACGGCCCGCCCGGCACCGGCAAGTCCACTATGATAGCCGCCATGGCCAACTTCCTCGACTACGACGTCTACGACCTCGAGCTCACGGCCATCAACAACAACACCGAGTTGCGAAAGCTCTTCATCGAGACGACGGGCAAGTCCATCATCGTCATAGAGGACATTGACTGCTCCGCCGACCTCACCGGAAAACGCCGCAAGGACAAGAAGGCCTCTCGCGACAAGGACTCCGATGGAAACGACAAACCCAAGTACCAATCGAGCCAGAGAAGGATGACGCGACCAAGGTGACGCTCTCTGGCCTGCTCAACTTCATCGACGGGCTGTGGTCTGCGTGCGGCGGTGAGCGGATCATCATCTTCACCACCAACTACAAGGAGAAGCTGGACCCCGCACTGATCCGGCGGGGCAGGATGGACAAGCACATTGAGATGTCTTACTGCCGCTTTGAGAGCTTCAAGATACTCGCCAAGAACTACCTGGATGTGGTGGAGCACGAGCTGTTTGGGGAGATTCAGCAGCTGCTTGAGGAGACCGACATGTCGCCCGCTGACGTGGCAGAGAACCTGATGCCCTTGTCCAAGAAGAAAAAGAGGGACCCTGATGTGTGCTTGGCAGGCCTCATCGAGGTGCTCAAGCAGGCCAAAGAAGACGCGACGGTCGCCAAGGCGAAGGAGGAAGAGGTGGCCAAGGAGGCTGAAGCGAAGAAAGCCAAGGAGAAAGAGGAGGCTGAAGTGAAGAAAGCCAAGGAGAAAGAGGAAGGGAAGGACAAAACATCAGAGGAAGCCATTGGAGACAACATGCAAGCTGACAAGATACAGGAGTAGAGTGAGTGAGCATGTTCACTACATGCTCCGTGACCAAAAGATGCAGTGTTGGTTCAGATACGACATATATCACTCAACTGAAATAAAATACGGAAATGTTAACGCCCACACGTGTGGGCGTTTGCACATCGCCCACACGCCTCCATCACCATTCATTTTGCCACGTATGAATAGATGACATCAGCAGAAATTTTTTTGGTTTTCGGCTTAAAAATGTTGTATCTCCTAGATAAAAAAGCGAACTAAAAATCCGTTTTCACCATTAAATCCGTCTCAACGAGATCTTCAAAACTAGACCCCATGTTGATATGTTTCGACGAAATTTTTTTTGCCAGAAGTTGCCACAATGTTTACACTGCAGTTGCCATAGGGCTTAAACTAAAGTTGCCATGTGGCAATTTTAGTTTGTAGATCATGGCAATTTTAGTATTTTGATGATGGCAACTTCAGTAATTTGACCATGAAAATTATTTTTTGTATGAACCATGGCAATTTTACGTGCATGTATCATGACAATTTTAGTTTATGGTTCATGGCAAGTCTAGTTTCTTAATTCCCCGTTTTATAAATATCAAAATTTACTTTTAAATGTAGAAGAAAATAGCTGAAACATATCATGGCAACTTCAGTGTAAACATCATGGCAATTCATATGCAATAGACATGGCAACTTTTAATCAAAAAAAATTTCATCAAAACATATCAACATGGGATCTAGTTTCGAATATCTCATCGCGAGAGATTTAATGGTGAAAACGGATTTTCAATCGGATTTTTCGTTTAAGAGATAAAACATTTTAAAAACTGAAAATCCAAAAAGATTCCTGCATGCATGCATGCGATGACGTGGCAATCTGTTTACATTAGAGACATGTGGTGCGTCTCCCTTCCTGCCACACGTGTGACAGTTAGCGCGACCCATAAAATAATGTAGCTTCCTTTTCTCATTTGCTAATTCACACATGAAGCGGCTGTTGTAATGTTGCTATAGGTAGAGTATAAATAGTACTCCTACAATACATAATCCCAACACTCTGTATTTGTAAATGCAGAACGAAACTAAGCTTGGTTTGCATAAATATGCATTTCTTCATTTCTCTACGAAAGACAGCAATCTGCCAGAAGTTGAATTTACACATGGCTTGACGAGATGACCTGACCAGATCCCATGAGCGCAGGGCTTCACTGGTTTGGAGAAGGAACCGTGCCCTTATCCAAACCTTCATCTCTCTCATGCACACACTTCGTCGAATCAGCCAAGAACTGAACAAGCATGAACTCAAAAAGGGAACCATGGAACCAATAAAGTGATTTTAGGGGAACAAAGATTCACCCACAAAGATGCCAGCAATGCTCTCAGTCATCCATAACCAGAAGTCCCCAAACGATTTAAGTAAACATGGATAAAATGTTTAAGATATTTTCAACACAGATGTGCACTAGTTATCATCAGGCAATTATGACAAGGTTAATATACAGACAGACGAACAACATCATCTCCCTACATTGTATACACAAATATAATCATTCAGCCAGCATGTGCAAAAATCTACATCCAGGTTCTACACAATGTCCACAAAGGATTGGTGCGCAGACCTGAGATGGCCATAACACTCCTCGCTGCTCCTGAAGTTCGCCAAGCATGCCCAGCAAATGTGGCTGCCGCACCTGCACTCGACATGGTTGCAACCCTCAGATTTCTCGATCGTGTACCCACACGAAGGGCAGTTCTTCACATTCACCTTCCCTCTGCGCCATTCAAGCAGCGTCGCGTCTGGGTCTTCCTTGTATTGCTTGTAAGCCTCGCAGGACATGAAAGGATGATACTCGACATGGCACTTGGTGCAGATCTCGACATAGCAAGCCCCGCAGACAAAAGGCTTGGTCTCTGCATCTGGAGCTGCCACTTGGTAGATGGATTGGCAATCAGGTGTCGAGCAGAAGCGATACATTCCTGCTCTAGATGTAACAAATGCCCTCAACGAAGCTCTGAATAGGTCCTCCAGCTTCTCATTAGACACCAGGTGCTTCAAATCAACTATGAGGAAGGGCTTCTTGCACCCAGTTTTCAGGCAGCAAACAGGGAAGCCATCATGAGATTTCATGGCAGATTCACACTGATCCACTAAGCAAGCCCGACAAAATATGTGCCCACATGATTCAAGCTCAAAAGGGTCTTCAGTCTCACACAAGCAAATAGGGCATGCATCCTGCGCCAGCTCACTGTCATCCACCCTTTCCTTATCCTTACTTCCTCCAACACTCCCAGACGGAAGTTGAACCAGGGCATTCTGTTTAACAGAGGTTATCAGCTCAGAGATCATCCCTTCAACCCTTCGCTTATCCTCTTTACTGCCCCAAACTTTAAGTAGATGTCGCTGTTTATTTAACTCAACATTTACTGCAGGCATTTCTTTCTTAAATCCTTCCAGATCAACTCCAAAGTTCTCTACTGTTTTCTTCATCATGTCTGGAGGGAGGTTATGGCCACGAAGACTAATTTCCAGGGGCATCTTCTCAAGGAGCTCTGTAAGTGCGTGCACCAATTTTGTCTCTGCTGTAGCTATCTGATCTTGGTGCCCAAAGACTTTAATATTCAGACTTTGTCTGTCGTACAGAATGTAAGTACCAGTTTCTTGTTCAATAGATTTCAAATGTGCTACACCATCATGGGACAAAAGTAGCTGAACTGCACTTATTGTCAGGTCAGGGTGGTTTATAGTGTTGCCTTTCATCAAAATCTCAAGAGGCCTTCTCAAATCAGCTATTGTTTTTGTGGCATTTGCAGTGAGCTTTAACCGGAAAATACCATTATCAGTCTTTTCGAAATTGTAAACCACACCTGCATGAAATGGAAAACTGGTTACATCTTCAATCTCACCATAGATATAAGCTTAAGCTTTTTGCAGTCTCAAACAATCACACAAACAATATAAATTCGGAAACGAAGCTACATAAGATTAGCAGCATAACACTTGTGATTTAGACTTTTCAAGGAGAGGAAGGGGATATCCCTATTTACCAATGTTACAGATTCTTGGATGTGTACCTTGGCTGCAGTCTTGCAAGTGATCACACACATACATGTGTAAACTAGTGTATCTACCAACAAACTCTTGTGGTGATTCTTGAAAATAAATCACATCTGAGCATAAATAACACATACTCCTGAATTTAACAACAACCAAAAAAAAAGTTGCATACCAACAGGAAAACCAAAAATATTGTATGTACGCATACTACCCCCAATCAAGATTACTTGCCATTTTTAGCCCCTGAAAACAAACAAGGGTCAGTTCTGCCAGTTTTCACCTCTAAAGGGGAGATGGTCATTTAATTGAGGAGTTGTAAACATGACATATTAGTGATGCATTATCATTTCTTATTTTTATGGAGCAAACACACATGATAGGCTCAACAGCTGGCGTTGAGTTGTTAGAGCTCAATGCCAACATATATGGTGTTGAACCGTGGCCTCCTTTCTTTGACCCACGGGTGAATTAAAAAAGTGAGTGTTGGCTTGTTATATAACGAGCTGCAGTGCTTGGCCTAGAAAGATTCTTCCATACCCAGTAGCAGCGTTCATCCTTTACTCTCTTTTTTTCTCTTTTTTTATTCATGCACGTACAGGTTTAACTTATTTGCAAGCTTCTGCTCCAAGATGGCAATCACTGATGCCTACTTTGCTATTTCACCTTGTGCTACCGGGAAAATCACATGTGGTGGATGGCTTGAGGCAGGCAAAAATGACAACGACGAAGGTAGCGCAGTTCAGCGCCATGCACTCTGGCGTTGAACACAAACAGCTCAACCCCGGGGTGTATGGCGTTGAACGTGTTTGTTCCACAAAAGTGCTAAGTTTTTTCAAATACCAAAGTGTATGGCCTTGACATAGCCAAGTTCAACACCAAGGAGACTGGCGCTGAGTGGAAGGGTCAGATTTGGTAAAGCAAAAAAAGACTAGGATTATTTTCGGCTTTACTTTTAATTATTTCTGTCAATTCTCACGTTTAACATTGGTCCATGGAAACATAGTAGAGGGAGTTCATTTAAAGGAGGCGGAATCAGCATACTAATTTTACATGAAGCAACATGATTTGCAAGGTGCCAGCAGTTGTGGAAGCTCAAATAGTGCAGATAAGTCTTATAATCATGTCTGGAAGAGAAATTTGAGTTTGCTGTGCCCAAGTAAAGTTAACCATTTTATTTGGAGACTAGCAACGCAAATGAATATTCGAAGGAGAGGCGATATGCGCAATCCCTTATGGAGATGACAAAATGAAGATGGTGACTACCTCTTAAATTGGAAAAAAAAAACTGTGAAAATGTGTTGGCATGTGGTGCTCCTCGAAGAAGAAAAGCTGAATCTCTTGAAGTGCATCTCAGCTAAAGAAACTGTTAAATTTATTTTGGAAAAGAGGCAGTGCGGTTATGAAGCTTGCCACTTTCACGTATTTAGTGGTCTGACCACAATAAGGTAACACAGAAGACACTGTCGAACCAGTCTCTGACTTCCAATTGAGATTTGCAACATGCATTACTGAATCCTTAGAACACCACCAGAATGTGAAAGTGAATATACCCAGATTTGTGAGCTCCGGAAAACCACCTGTTCTGGAGTGGTTAAAGGTAAACTTTGATGCTTATCTGTCAAACTGTTCATGCTGGTGATAGGGGATTTGCTGTCCGGGATCATCCAGGGGCTTTAATTGCTGCCGGTGAAGGAAGACTGTCACATGTGGACTTGGAAGCTCAAGCAATGCAGCATGATGTTCATCATGTCACCTCCTTAGGCATGGGCTGAGTTGTCCTGGAGACCGACTGCCTAGAGCTTAAACAAGCTTTGTCTAACACTCATTATGATTTGTCAACATCTGGTGCTCTAGTAAAAGACCTTAACGAGTATGTTACTGCTCTCGTTTGATGTGTACTGTACAGAATTTATTCATCATAAAAGTAACGACTTCACATCTTTTTACAGCCTTGGGGTGTGATCAGGGTCTAGATGATCGTGTAATTTGGACGGACCATTTTCATGGTGATGTTTGGGGTGTGGTGGCCAGAAATTTAGCCGTGTGCCAAATTTAATGGAATCTATGTGTTCCATTTTAAAAAAAAAAGCAAAGAAAACACATGATTCAAACAATAGAACAGCAAAGAAATTTAAGCAGGCAGGAAATGAGGAATGCAAGCACACCTTTCTGGCTTCGGAAGCTCTCAAGCAGAGAATTAACTTCCTGGCTGATAACATTGTAAACATGTAGTGGGCAGGACAGAGTACTATGAAATACATGCTTGCACCGTATCATCTGCCAAGGTTGACAACAAGGAAGAAAGCTTCCTTCAAGATGGTCCAGCGCTCTTGCAGCCTCTCGATGAAGACTTCCATCAAAAGTTATAGTTGCTCTCATCATTGAATTGTTTTCCTCTGGAGGGAAGACTTCAACACGGAAATTTTGTCCAGGAATCTTGTTTGGCATGAACGAAGAAATTTCTCTAATCAGCGCTTCTTCACATGCAGAAACAGAAGGGCCAACTATGGGTGCTTCCCTGAGCCTGAGCAAACGGGTCCCAAATGCATGCCCCCTGCTTGGGTTACATGGCCATGATAGTCTAGCTCTTACTGCAGGAAATGGTAATCCTCGATTATCAGAAGAACATACTGGAACCACTTTTAATGAGGAACCATGAAATTCTATTCCGTTCAATTTTAACACAGCGTCTTCAGCATCTTCAGGTTTGAGGAATGTAAACTTCCCCCATTTAGTTTCATCTGAGGCTATCCGAAAGTTCCCAGCTGATTTATGAAAATTAGCGACACCAGAGGTCAGACTGCCCACCAAAAAAATAAGCTCCTTGTCATTGATACCATGGGCATTTTGATGGAGAACCTCTACTGTTAGATACCTCTTCCCAAGTTCCAAATGCTTGATTTCAGCACCTGAGCCAAACAATGCAAGAGGAGAACTGCCAGGCCTCCCAGGAAATAATCTTCTCTCGAGGCACTCATTCCTCAACATCTTAGCTTCACACTCCAAAGCACCGTTAACAATACAAAAGACCTTTTCTATGTCCTGCCTTGTAGCAAATAACACAACTTCATTGTTTTTGAAGTTAATTTCGACTGTTATTCGGTCATCCCTGCATTCTTCCTTGAGATGTGAGATAATCCTGTGTTGATTTTGGCCATATTTGCCACAAAATCTTCGCAGCAAATTATTACCAAGCCCACTAATCACTTTTATCTGCAGTTTATGTTTCTCCAGTTGATGAATGAAGGACATGGAATGAACTGCATACAACGCATCATGATCAACAGCAGTTACACATACCAAATACTGATTTGGGATTGATAAGATTTCTGTAAACACCACCCACTCTGGCTTGCTGCCATAATTGAGCAATGAGCATGAGGGATGAAGGTTCACAGCCTGATCTGTCGAAATCACCTGGTAACCAAACTTTTCATGTCCTAAAAACATAGCAAGATTGCCTGTAAGAGATGATAGAATAATTCTCTTTAGCAGCTTATCATGCATAGAGGAAATCTCAGGATTCCAACACCAATAACTTGGGACAATAATGTTGAGTTCATGCTTTAGACAATTTTCAAGCTCTGATATAGTTTCCTGGCACCTCCTCATGGTCTTGGCGTTGATGCTGTTCTGCCAGCACCACATATTCCTGTTTCCATGCCCATCCTCCCACTTTTTATAAACAGCGAGTAAAGTGAAGAGATCTCCATCTTGGTGACACAATCGGACCTTCTGAAGGTCAGCTTTATGTTTCTCCTCATTAGTGCCCACTCTACAAAATATGCTGCTAGAATTTGCCATAACAGCAGCTAGAATTACACCTTCCCTTCTCAAACCAGAATCAAAGCAATCAAGCATAATTTTACCAAGCCTTGGCTCAATTCCCAATTTGACCAGGTAGCGTCCAGTATCAGTCAGCTCAAACAAATTACATTTACATTTGACAGCACCCAATTGTTCAAGGTTCTTCAAAGCCATATTGATTGCGTCTGGATTTGGGGCATCAACAAACTCAAAATTCTGTGCATCCCTAACACCCAAAGCAAGTATTCTCAGAACAGCAGTGCCAAGATGAACTTTCCGGATTTCAGGTTCTTGATGCACTTCCATCATTCTGAAGTGAGATTCAGAGTAAAGCCTGTAACACTTCCCTGCTCCTGTTCGACCAGCCCGGCCAGCACGTTGACTAGCGGAACTTTGGGAAATCCAATTTACTTTCAGCACATTGAGACCACTGCTAGGCACAAATCTGCTCTCCTTGGCCAGTCCAGGATCAACAACATACTTCACTTCTTTGATGGTCAGTGATGTTTCAGCCATATTCGTGCAGAAGATAACCTTTCTCTTACCGGGATAGCTGTTGAAAACACGACTCTGTTCTACATGGGAAAGCTTTCCATGCATAGGAAGTACCACAGCACTTGCATCGCTGAAGTTTTCACAGGCCCACTCAACTTCCAGTTGAGATGTCAAAAAAGCAAGTATGGCACCCTCTTCTTCATTCTTGTGAATCACACTTACCACCCTTACAACATCATTGACATAAGCAGCAGTAGCAAAAGCATCATTCAGAGAGTTCGGTACAGTATTGAAGGAAGCATCCACTGATACATCTGGGATATATTTAATTTCAATAGGAAAATTTCGCCCTTTAACATGGAATGTTTGACAGCCATAAAAGTATTCAGCTAGTCTATTAGCATCAGCAGTGGCAGACATTATAATGAGTCGCAAATCCACCCTATCAAGCAGCTTCTTCTTTACCAAAGCTAAGAGAAGATCGGTGTTCAAGCTTCTTTCATGAGCTTCATCAACAATAATGTATGAAACGCCATCCAGGCCCATATCATTCATGCAGTGATGTAAAAGATAACTATCTGTGCCAAATATGATCTTCGAACTGAAGCCCCGAGAACCGGAAAAGGTTGGACATGACGACACAAAATTGTCTGCATAGCAGCCATTGCTTTCTTCATCTACTCTACGTGCCAACGTTATAGCAGCAATTTTTCGAGGTTGGGTACAGACAATTGAACTGTTGGCAGCAAGACCTGAGTCGGCAAGATACTGAACCAATTGTGTGCTTTTCCCAGAACCAGTTTCCCCAATTAAGATTATAACCTGTAGAAAACAAAGATCCATAACTTAAAACACAAATTTTATGTCATTATTCATGATTTAGAAAAATAATAAACAAGTCAAACCAGATGGGGGGGAAATTGTGGGTAAAGCGCAACGCTGACTACTGAATATTAGACCTGACTACATGATCAAAATGTTGGTACCTCAATGGCAAAAATGCACCTCATAACCTTGTAATGAAGATCATTAGGTGCAGTTCCATTGGAAAAGCTAGAGCAAGAATATTCTGCCAATACATACCGATATTTAAAATCACAAGAGATAACTCAGACTAACTTAACCTACATAAGCAAAGTTAAAACTCAGCACATTGCAAAATTATTATATATACTCCCTCCATTCCTAAATATAAGTCTTTTTAGATATTTCTATATGGACTACATACAGATATATATAGACATATTTTAGAGTGTAGATTCACTCATTTTGGTCTGTATGTTGTCCATATTGGAATCTCTAAAAAGACTTATATTTAGGAACGGAGGGAGTACACAACAGAACTCCATACACTGCTTTTCCACTATGGTTCTAACTTCTAAGCATAAAAGTCTGGCTCACACTGCATTGTAGATTTGCAAACATCACAAATATAACTGCAAAGAACTCGTAAAACTCGCCTGGTTAGCGAATATGTGATTGAGAATTTTTCTACGGTATGCATAGATTGGTAGTCCCTCGTTGAGCGTCTGCACTCGCGCAGCATCATGGTGTGCACCCTCGCAAAATCCACATCATCACCTTCCACAATCCCAAACAGATCAACCCCCTCCTCCTCCTCGTCCACCTCCTCCTCTTCATCCGTCCCACTTAGCATCGCACGACGTATCGACGTCATTGCTGCTTTATACTCGGCAATTTTAGCGTCTAACATATCCTTGTCAGCCTCCAGCGTTTTCCTCTGGAGATTGAGCTGATCGAAGTCGCGGAGGTTACTGCGGCGGACGCGCAGGCGGTGCTTGACAGACTGGACGGAGGCTGCGAGTTGAGATGAGCGGGCGGCTAAACGGGAAACGAGGTCGAGGAGGCGGGAGGCGTGGGAGGCGAAGAGCGAGGAGATTAGGGGGAATGCCTTCGCGGCGAGGGCGGCGTCGGGGAGGTACGGGGTGAGGAGGTGGCGACCCTCGAGGCGGAGCGACCAGAGGTCACGCGCGGCAACCGCGGCGGCAGGGAGGGAGCGGAAGAGGAGGCGAGCGGCGTGGCGGCCGGAGGAGAAGACGGAGAGGCTGTCGGGGCGGAGGCCGGCGACGAGCGCGTCGACCTCCGTGGCGGGCGGGGAGGAGAAATCGGGGCCCGCGCGAAGGAGGAGGATCGCGGCGGACTGGGGATGCGACTGGCGGTGCTGCTGTGGGCGGTACGGCGGCAGCGAACCCCGATCCGGCGGGCGGAAGGGGCGGTCGGCGTGAGATCGAGGCATGGCGGCAGCGGAGGGGTTTGCGAAGGTTTTGGTCGGTGGTCGGAATCGGACGGAATGTTTGTCAGGCACCTCAGACTTCACTTTTTTATCTGCTTTGCCAAAAAGCGCAGTCCAGTACCAGTTCACCAAACGGCAGTTGTTTCTAGACCGTGCGATTCGTCCGTGACGCGTGGGATTCGACCCAAAGAGGGCAACAAGGCAGAGTGGAGCCACGCGGCTGGTGGTGGCGATGAAGATGAGGATGAAACTTCACGGTGCAAAGGGTTAGGGTTGAAGGGTGGGAGGTTCTAGGCGACGGAGAAGATGATGGGGACGCAAAAGGGCTAGATAGATGGTAGGAATGACGATACAACCGGCGGTGGTCGCGGTTGGTCGAGGGTGGGGTGGCGAGGTGTGGAGGGGTGGGGGAGACAATGGTTATACTGGTAGGAAGTCGAATCGTTGCAGAAGGCGGGAGCCGTCAACATCAACAACGCGTGTAAGGCCATGTACAGTGAGGAGTGCTTATGCCTCGGTGCTTAGGGAGAGAAAGTAGAGTTATTTCTCTTGAAAACAACTAATTTACAATGCAGAGTGTTTCATACATATAATTAAGTTGGCTTGACATGCAAAGTACTTTGTGGAGTAGGGCAATTTTTTCTACAGGCACCCCCGGTCCACAGGGACTCACTGGGGACGCAGGCTTGAACGCCTCCTACTGTGGAGGCGATCACCCAGGCCCGGTGGCTGATGTCGGGCTAGGAGTAGAAGGACTGTCTTCCACTGTTCCCACCGTGGTCTGTGCGTTGCGATGGTGATGGCTGGCGGTGACTCGGGACATGGATGCTGGGGCGGCGGCCCCGGATGGTGGTCCGTATGATGGCTTTTCAGCAGGCTCCATGACGGCAGCGGTGGCTACATTTCTCGGTCGCCTGGGCGGCGAGGGGTGTAGCGGAGGGTGGTCCGGGCACACTTGTTGCCCAGATCCGGTTCTCGCCATGTTTGGCCTGGGTGCCCCGTGGTGGCATGGGTGAGTTGCCGAGCGAAAGCTCCGTGCTTTGGCACTGGCGACGATGACATATGCGGGTGTTGTTATCTTCTTGAAGACGTCGTCGTGATTCTTCTCTCCGTGTCAGAGTCTCCGGGTGAAAACATTTGTCCACCTCGGGCTCGGCATCGGCGGTGCTCACGTTCCCCTCTTGAGGGCGTTGTCGGGGAGGCTAGGTGTCCTAGGTCATGTCATGGCGGTGTAATCAGGTAATCTTGTGCTACTGTGTCGACAGTATAGTCACGTGCGTTTATGTTGGCCTGTTATATAGGGATCTGCTGTCTCAGAGGACTACCTCACTGCATTGTATCATTCGGTCATGTATCCTAGGTGTTTTTTGCTTTATATATAAAGCGGGACGAGAGTATATTTCGAGAGAAGCAAAACTTTACTTCTACAGCCCTTCCGACCTGGTGCGACATGATCTTAAGAAAAAAATATCAGGATTTTTACTTAGGCACTCACTTTAGCACCTGTGTTGCATAGGGCCTAAGAATGTCTAGATATTGAGTATGCCCATGTAATTTATTAAGTGGTTTTAACTATAAAAATTAGTGTCACCGTTGGTGAATATTATGCATTAGAATTAGGTTTTTGATTTCATCTTTTGCCCCCATTCGTCCCATAATATAAGACGGTTTTACAAGCTAACATAGCTTATGAAAATGTCTTATACTATGGAATAGAGGGAGTATCTATTAATCTTCATAATTACAGCATATATGTGTAAGAATATATGTGAAGTTGGCTAGATATATTTGTTGTGGTGCATAAATCAATCCAGTATTATTATTGTTTCATTAAAAGAGAAAACACATCAAGCTAGCTAGCTAGGTAAGTACATACTTCTTTGTAACAAGGATGGGAACCCAAAAGTCCTAGAAGCTATCATTTTCTTGCAAAAATGTTACAACACTGCATAAAGGACCCTAGAAGGTACATAAATAACAACAGGCTCATTCCTATTGCAACTACGAGCCTCAATAGCACGGTAATAACCTAATTGAGTCTTAATGCACACAATTACCTCATTGAAGACTCGGTTGCCAAGGTCTCTGACACATGCCTTGTCGGCTATGGGGAGATTTTTGACGATCAAGAAGATTGGAGCGTAAAAGGGCTAGATGGATGGAGTGCCGACAAAACTGGTGGTGGTGGCGGCTGGTTGAGGGTGGGCTGGCGACGCGAAGAGAAGCCATAGTGACACCAATAATGAGTGGGAGAGACAATGTTCCTTCCATCGTAGGGAGTCGGATAGTTGAAGATTAATGGAGGCGACATCAGCTGTGTAAGAATGTTAAGATGGTCAATATGACCCAAGTAATTTATTAAGTGATTCTAATTATAGCGTTTGGTGTGATGGTTGGTGAATATTATGGATTTGAATTAGGGTTTCAATTTCCTTCTATCTATTATAATCTTCCTATTATGGATGTTAGGTATGTTTTTTGCGATGCATAAATCTATCCATTACTATTTTTTTCTTCAAAAGAGGCAACACATCAAGCTGGCTAGCTAGGTATGGTTCTTCTTTTATTAGTGGAAGTGGTGCATTTCTTTACGAGGGAGAGGCCCATGTCCATCTCGTCTAAGGTCTAAAATTATGAAAAGCCTATCATCTCTTCAACTACCTAATCTGATAAGCTTGAGCATGGTCCAAGGAGTTCTAATAGGGAAATCCTTTGAGCCAGCTCAACATCTACATATTTTAACATGGATAGGAACCCAAAGCTTCTACAAGCTGGCATTTCTTGCAAAATTGTTACTACTATGCATAAAGGACCCTAAAAGAAAAATATATGACAACAAGGGTCCTTTCCTTTTCCAACTAGGACCCCAAATAGCATAGAATAACGTAGTTGAATCCTAATGCACACAACAAACTCACTCGAGACTCGATTGCCATTGTCTCTGACGCATGCCTTGCCAAGGATGGGAGGTTTTAGGCGATCAAGAAGATGATGGGGCATAGAAGGTCTAGATGGATGGCAGGATCAGCGATAAAACTGACGGTAGTGGGGATTGGTTGAGGGTGGGATGGCTATGACGCCAATTGTGGATGGTAGAGACAATGCTTAGACTGGTAGGGAGTCATATAGTTGAATAGGAGAGAGCTACCATCACACATGTAAGATGCTTAGATATTCAGTATGTCCATGTAATTTATTGAGTGATTCTAACCAAAGCATTTAGTGTGATGGTCGGTGAATATCATGGATTAGAATTAGGGTTTTAGTTTCCTATGTTATCTATTAATCTTCATATGTTTGG